GTTCAGGACTCATGTTTTAGCGTTTGGGGGCTTCGCTGCACTTTGGAAAAGAAACCAAACTGAAACTTGGGTGTCAATGTTCTGTCTTCGATTACAATTAGGCCTTGAGCCGCACAGGTCTTTGCCACGCTAGGCCGCATTGACGGCAAGCGATCGGTGCTTCGAGGCATGGCATTCTGTGCTTGTCAGGGTTTCTGTGTTCAGGGAGGGCTCATGGTGCTCCTTAAAGGGGTCCTTGGGCCGAGTAACTAGGGTTACTGTCAGATTAGCTGTATTTCTACTTATAACCCCAAAGAATCACCTATAACCTTACTTACTAAAACCCATGATGCTCCAAGTACTTAAACCCTAGACCCTAAACCCTAATCACCTATAATCTTACTTACTAAAACCCATGATGCTCCAAGTAGGGTCTAGGGTTGTCGTTGTTGTTCTGCCCTGACTCCAAGCCTCAAGCCCGGAGCCCCGCAACCCCAAACCCAAAACTGCACAAAACCCTAGACCCTAAACCCCTAAACCCTAAACCCTAAACCCTAAACCCTAAACCCCTAAACCCTAAACCCTAAACCCTTGCAGAACTCTTGCAGGATCCTAGTCGCACCCCTCTTTAAGCCCGAAGCCTCTTAGGCCCTTGGCTGTAATCTCTGAGGTTTCAGACGGCAGACACCACATCCCACCTGCAGTCGGTTCAGGGTTTAGGGTTCCAGGTCTAAGGTTTAGGGTTTACGGCTTAGGGTTTAGTTTCGGCTGGTCATAAGCGGGCTTTATTAGGCTTCATTCAGGTGTTTTTCTTGAAAGGTTTTGAGGATGTATAGGAGGTTGTTCGAGGTTTGAAGGGGTTCATAAGGGTGTATAATCAGGAGCATGCCTCGATGAATGAGCCCGTTTGGGGGGCCATGGTTTTCCCATCCCTGAAATTACCCTTGCTTGATGAAGTGGGGTCTTGTAATCAGCGGTCTACATCTGGGTTGACTACAGTCTCGAGTATAGGGTTCTTTCGTCTGGCTTGGGTCTTTCGGTTGTTGGATTTAGGGTTTCGGGTTTAGGTCCAGGTTTAGGGTCCTAGTTTGCACACGGCTCAGCATCCCATCGAACTCTGCGAAACACGTGGTCACGTACGTAAGCGTTCTTCCCAACATCCCACAACTAATCCAGCGTTTGCTTGGAAAACGAAAGCAGGCCCTAAACCCCCTCTACAAATTGGGTTACCCCAGTCACACAACCAAAGTGATATCATAGGAAGATTGAGGGACCTTAAGATAACTGCCATGATCCCTAAACCCTAAACCCTAAACCCCTAAACCCTGAACCCTGAAGTCTAATCCCTAAACCCTAATCCCTAAACCCTAATCCCTAATCCCTAAACCCTAAACCCTAATCCCTAAACCCTAAACCCTGAACCCTAAACCCTTCACCCTGAACCCTAAACCCTTCCCCAGCGTTTTTGGCACGGCCGAAGAAAAAGCGCCTCATGGCAGCCCGAAGGCCGCACGGACGAGGGTGGCCGGGTTCGCTTCGTCCGGCTCCGAGTTCTTCTTGGGCTTAGGTTTTGGGGTTTAGGGTTTAGGGTTTAGGGTTCAGGGTTTAGGGTTTGGGGTTCAGGGTTTAGGGTTTAGGGTTTAGGGTTCAGGGTTCAGGGTTTTGGAGTTCTGTTCTGGTTTTGGCCTTGTTGCTCTAGGGTTCCACTGCAAGTGCTAAAACTATTGCTCTATGATGGAGGGTAGGGCCCCTTTCTAGGGTACCCGGTTTAGGTCCCCAAAATATGGAGCGGCACCCTTATGAAAAAAGGGCCATAGCAGCCCTGAGCCCTAAACCCTAAACCCTAAACCCTAAACCCTAAACCCTAAGCCCTAAACCCTAAACCCTAAACCCTAAACCCTAAACCCTAAACCCTAAACCCTTATAACAGGGACCCTAATCTAGAGAACCACCCATCTGAAGGTCTTGGAAGGCAGGGAGTTCCTTAGTTCTCCAAGACCCAACCTTTAAACTTTTTTGGGTTCTTATAACCCTAAACCCTAAACCCCAAACCCCAAACCCCAAACCCTAAACCCTAAACCCTAAACCCTAAACCCTAAACCCTAAACCCTAGCCTTTTATTTCCCTGGCTTATTGGGGAAGTGAGGTTCGTGACTGAGGGAACTGCTTTAAGCCTTGGCTTGCTTTGGTCAAAGGGGTTTCTGTTTTAGGGTTTAGGGTTTCGGGTTTGGGGTTGTGGGGTTTAGGGTTTAGGGTTCAGGGTTTAGGGTTTAGGGTTTAGGGTTTGGGGTTCTGGGGTTTAGGGTTCAGGGTTTAGGGTTTAGAGTTTCTACAGCTAAACCTGAGATTCGTGTCAGGCAGCCGGACAACTTAAGGTCCTCCTAACCCCAAGTAGAACACGAACCCAACTGGGACGTACTACGTAACGGTTATAAGTCACAAGTACCTTAATTAAAGTGATCCATAAGAACAAGTAGCCCTAAACCCTAAACCCTAAACCCTAAACCCTAAACCCTATAGTTACCTTACTCATAACCCTCGTTACCAAGTCTCATGATCCTTTCAGCAAGCCCTGGACCCTAAAGCCTAAACTCTAAGCCCGAAACCTTCGCAGCTCCGGACTTCCTAAACCCTAAACCCTAAACCCTAAACCCTAAACCCTAAACCCTAAACCCTAAACCCTAAACCCTAAACCGTGGGGGTTCAGGAACCAGCTCCGGCCTGCAGCGCGCTGGCTCCCACCACCCTGCTGCAGGTGGGCTGCTGCGGGGCGGGGCGGTGGGGTTGCGGACGCAGCTGGCAAACTTCTCATGCAAAGCCGCATCTCAAGCTGGCTTACCACGATCTCCAACGACATGTCATTCTGCCATCTTTGCTCCAGGGCATACCTTGATGCAGCGCAGTGTCACGCTTGAAAGACTGCAGCAAATCTCAGAGAATATGGTCATTCTTTCGGGAAACCTCAAACCATACCAGCAAGTTTAAAACAACAGAATCCTAAACCAAGCCCGAAGACCATTGAAACCACAGCACGTGAAGTTCGCACGGCCTAGGCCCAGTGCCTTCAGCCTGACATTTCCCGTTTCCCATCTTAGACTGCGGTGTGAAGTTTCGGATTCAAGGCCATACTGGTTCGGAGCTTAGGGTAGGGTTTGGGGTTTAGGGTTTAGGGTTTAGGGGCCCGGAAAGGTGCAGGGCTCAGTTTTCCAGACCCTCCGACCGAGTTTGAGTTTTTTGGGGGCTTTAAAAAAATGTCCAGGGCTCTAGGCTCTACGGATTCGGGCTTCCAAGGCCCGGTAGAAGGGTTTAGGGTTTAGGGTTTAGGGTTTAGGGGGAGCCGCCCCTGTTCGCGCGATGTTCACCTTCACTCGGAAGCTGACGATCAATGTGGAAAACCATACGCTCGAGAAGCAGGCCCGGGGGGCTCCTGTCAGCGCTTCTTCGGGCTTGTCAGGGCTTGCAGGGTTTAGGGTTTAAGGTTGAGGGTTTAGGGTTTAGGGTTTAGGGTTGAGTCTATATAGTGCTTAGGTCAAAGAGTCCAACTCATGGAGGCAAAGGTATATGTCAAATCGAGTCAAAGGCAAAGCCGGCAATCAGAGGTAACGTGAAGGTCAGCCTCTTAAGTAGCTAAAGGGCAGAAAACGGGAAAAACGCAGCAGGGTATCGAAAAGATGGCAAAAATGCACTCCCATGCGGACCTGCCAGGGCTGGCGGGCTGGCGGGCATCCCTATACTGTAATTTTCCTTCGGATAAGTAGTACAAAAAAGGAGACCCTGCGAGAAATCGGCGAAACTGACAAAACCAGGCGAAGGCCAGTCGCATGCCAGGTGACCCGGGATTTCCCACACACCTGTCCTAAACGTGGCCTCTGCTTTATTTACACCTGACTTTGTGCATTTTTGTCACCTTTGTTCACCATCCTTTTACATTTCTTTGTGGCATGTTTTACCCTGTGCTTTTTACCATTTCTAGTTTCTGGCGGGGCAAAATGATAGGGACGCCCGCCAGCCTGTCTGCACGCCAGCCTGCCCGCCTGGGAGTGCAGCAAAATCCGCGTTGCGTGGCCTGTGCCGGGTCTTCACCCTTTTCCTACCCCTTCTTTGACTTTTTACATTTCCAGCTTAAGTGGGGTTTTACATCTCTTTTAATTAAATCGGGCTTACCTTTTCTTCTATCTGGCTGTTCGGGCCCTGTCCATCGGAGCGGTCGTTCACCGCTTGCGGTTGAGAAATTATCTTGGATGGTAGGGCTTAGGGTTTCGGGCTAAGGATGTACAGTATAGTCTTCCAGCGTCATGCCATGACCCAACTCTAAAGCCTACACTGCCCACACCCTAAACCTAAGCCCTGCTTAGGTCACCGTGGTTTTGGGGACTTGCTGGGTGTGTTAGGTCGGGCAGGCACGGCAGGGCCGATTCCAGTCCTAAAGTTCAGCCAAGCTCATGAAGAACCAACGGTCAAACTCTTGATCTAACCTCCCGACCCAAGTCTGAAAGTTTGGTTTGGTTTACTTTAGAGGCCTGAACTGTTACCTATGTCATTTTGGGGTTCCTGATTAGAGTTCTAGTATAATCTACACCAAAACCCTATACTAACTATCTAACTATTATGGCCCCGACATTAGCCGAGGGATCCTTGACCTGACTAACGGTCTATTTCCATAAGCCCCAAACCCGAAAACGCCCTTCACCCCAAGCACTGACTAAAGCATACATCCAAAAACTTGAACCCCAAACACGACTTAGGCTTAGGGAATACCGAGCGAAGCCTCCGAGTTGTCTCCTTGCCTTGTGGGGCGTCCTAGAGGCCTGATAGTTTAAACCGTAGAATCGCAAGAACTCCTTCACAACTTCTATCCCAACTACTTGTGGTTGCATGCATCCAACTAGTCTATCTGCCCGCTCAGACAGGTACTATTGGGGTATGACTATAGTGTTATTTCGGTTTTTAAGCAGACGGAACGTGCATGCAGGGAACCCATAAAGGAACCCTTCAAGGGATCCTAAAAGGAGCCCTGAGAGGCCTTTATCTTCTCCGGCGAGCACTTCGATTCCGGCGGCTGGAAGGACAAGGGCGGGACAAGGCGGGACAAGAGCAGTATGATAGGGTCGTAGTTTCAGGGTTCTTTGATACGCTGCTATAAGGGTTCTTATCGCGGCTAAGCCCTAAACCCTAAACCCCAACATCCAAAGGCTAAGCCCTAATCCGAAAAGCTTTCAAGAAGGGCTTCGAGCCTTAGAGTTTGGAGTCTGGCTGAGGGTGGGGGGTTGGTTTAGGGTTTAGGGTTTTAGGGTTTTAGGGTTTAGGGTTTAGGAGTTTAGGAGTTTAGGAGTTTAGAGGTTTAGGGTTCACGGTTTAGGAGTTTAGGGTTTAGGGGGTTGCGCAGGTTTAAGTTTAGGCGGATTTCGGATTCAGGGGGTGTTAATGGGTGGTCTAGGGTTTCGTGGGGTTTGGGGGTTTAGGCTTTACGGGGTTTAGGGTTTGGGGGTCTGGGGGGTTTAGGGGTTCAGGGTGGTTTGGGTTCAGTGGCTGCTGCTGTCTCAAAGGTAATACAAGGGTTCCTGCAAGGGTACTGTAGGGTTTCCTTTCAGGGCACTACGAAGGGTCCCTCTCAGGTTTCCTTGACGGGTTCCTTTCAGGGGAAGGCGTGGGACCCTAAAGCCCTAGCCCCTCAACTCTGAATTCTGGTCCCTGAAACCCTAAACCCTGAAGCCCTAAAGCCTGAAACCCTGAAGCCCTAAAGCCCTGAAGCCCTAAACCCTGAAACCCTAAACCCTAAATAAACTCCAAACCCTAATTAAACCCCAAACCCTAAACCCTGAAACCCAGGGTTTTATGGGACGTCTCGCTTGAAACAGGCGCTCCCGAGGCACTTCGGTGCTGATGGAAAAAGGCGCTCAAAAAAACCCTAAACCCTTAACCCTAAACCCTAAACCCCTAAACCCTAATTAAACCCTAAACCCTAAACCCTGAAACCCTTTCAGGGTTCCTTCTTGGAGCGCCGAGGCAGCCGACAGTGAAGATCGGTGAGTTCGCCGAGCTTCTTGCCACCTCTAAGAGGCGTTTAGGGATTTAGGGGTTTAGGGTTTAGGGGTTTAGGGTTTAGGGGTTTAGGGAACTGGATGCCTTGAACACTTCAGCTGAAGATGTCTTTCCCCGTGATGGCGACATGTATACTAAAAAAGCTTTTT